GGGGATCCAATGCCCTCTTCTGACCTCTGTGGACATTGCTTGGTATGGGTACACACACACATAAAATAATAATAATAAATAAATACTAATTTTTTAAAAGTTACTCTCTCTGAAGAAATATATGCTGACTGGAGAGATGTTTCAGTAGTTAAAAATGAGAACTTCTCTTGCTTATGACCTAAGCTAGGTTCCCAGCCTCAGTATGAAGTGATGTTCAACTGTCTGTGACTCAAACTCCAGGGGATCCGGAGGCTCTCTTCTAGGCCTTACATGCACCTACGCTTGTGTGCACATACCCATGCACACACACACTTATACACATAATTAAAAATAAGTATTTTTAAAAGGAAATACATGTTACATTTTTATTTGTTCTGTGGGCAGAGTAACATTTTATGTTCAGGCCCCACTTAGTCAGTATAGAAAGGAAAGAACAAAGGTCAATTTTCTGCCCTATTTTCTTTGTCTACTACACTTTCTGCCCCTCTGGGTGTCCTATGAGACTGATACAACAAACAGTGAAGCAAAGAAAGTGGTTGAGTCTAGGGTTTGTGATACAAATGTAGCTCTCTAAGCAATGCTTTGATCTTGAATTTCCTTCCAATTCTAGCATTCTACTATTCTACTGTGCTAAAAATCAGTTGATATCTTTTGCCAACACCTTCTGCCTTAAAATCAAAACCACCAAAAAACAGAATTCCACCCTATTAGGATTTGGGACAAATGGCATCAGAGAGCTGATATTTTCTGGCAGTATGTTGTGCCAATGTCCACATCTATTAAGTTTGTTTACTAACTAGTCACATTATCTATTTCATGTTGGGATTTCTGTAGGTGTGGACAGATGGGTTGAAAGTCTTCCTTCAGGCATAACACACATAGGATTGGGCAGATGGGTTCCAATAAGCACAGAGGAAAAAATTCGTGCCATTTTATAATAATGGATAAAAATAAAGTTGGGAAGAGACTTTAAAAACATATGTGAGTTGTGTAAAGCAAAATTGGGTAGTGGCACAGTGTCACTTTCTTTCAAAGGTACAGATTTTCAGTCCACAAGTTACATAGAAGCCTAAAGATCATTGACCAAGAAAAGAATGGCACTAGCCAAAGAATGTGCCAGTTAGAAATAGTTTTATAGTAACACAAACAGGACCTATTTTTTATTGAATATATCCATCAGTGAATTAGATGAGGATTTTATAGAGTATAAAATAAATGCGGAAATAATACCAATGAGAGAAAGATCAGAATACAAAATTATTCGCCCAGTGGGGAGAGATGAACTAAAATAATCAAATGAAGAGACAAGTGAAGAAGCATTACACGTACATTCTCTGATACCCAAAGAAAAACAAAATAAACCCTCCACAAGTATAAAATGTAGATATATGCATTTGAGGCACCACATAGAAAAGGAAGAGGATTTAGCGTAGACAATATAGTTGGCAAAACGAACATATGATGTGGCTGGCAAAGCCACTGTGCTTCTTGGCTGTATTGATGGGAGAATAGTATCTGTTCTGATAGCTGGAAGCCAACAGTGCTGGGGAGCTTCTGTGGATACCTGTGTTTCCAAGCTGCCACCTCTATTTTGCACAGTGCCCCAGGCAACTGCAGGCCTATGTATACAGCAGCACAGAGTTCTTTCTGACTCCCAGCCATGGCAAGAGAAATGACAGCAGAAACAAAAGAGAAGAAACAAGTTAGAGCGTTTATGTCTGTAAGACCCTCCCATGGGTCAGTGGAGCCCTAACTATGCAGAAACTCCTGCCTCTGACTGGCAACCATCTCCATACTTACCCACAATGCAAGGTTCCTGTAACAACTCCTTTTCTCCATCCTTTACAGCAAAGGATAGGAAGAATATCTTGTTTTACTAGCCCTAAGATGTAGACCATTTCACTTGTAATTGTGCAAATAGTTCTTTTATTTACATCTAAAAAAAAAATTCCAGTTCATGCTATTGATTGTGTGGGCAACCTGACCAAGTACTTAACATTGATGAGTTAAGATGAGAAGCTGCATCTAACAATTTAGATGTCCCTCTGCAGTAGGTTTGATCACTAAGTGTGTTACAAATGAAGAAATGGAGCCCTCTGAGGTTGATCTGCTTAAGGTCAAACAACCTGTGTGTGGCTGTTGTGGGTTTGGCCTCAGTCCATCTGACTTAGAGTCATGCTGTTGGCTAAGCTATGTCCCTCTGTTCAGAAGAGGTCAGGAACCATTGGAAATGATACTTTGACTCTGGCTTCTTAATTCAGAAAAACTCAACAAAGCAAAGACATGCAGTGTGTCAGTGCCAAGAAGAATGCCAAGAATTCATAATTCTGAGAAATATGGAAATGCGTAGAATTTGAAAATAGGTATAATGTTTTGGAAGAAAACTCTAGTAATAATATCAAATGACCCTAAAAATGCTCTGATCCTTAAATCTATTAATTCTACTTTTTAAAAGTCTATTCTAAGGGAATAGAGGTGTCAACAGGGAGAGAGGCTAAGATACTCATTGCAGAGCAAGTTCCACGGACAAGTCTTAAATAGTCTAACTACTCAGTAACAGAAAGTGGTACTTGGTATGACAGTGCACACCTTTAATCCTAGCCATCAGGAGGCAGAGGCAGGTGGATCTCTGTGAGGTCAGGGCCAGTCTGGTCTACAAAGCAAGTTCTAGGCAGGCTGAGAATAGGCACACACTGGTAAAAAATTAAAAAGTGATTGAAAGTAGTTAAATAAATCAATATAGAATATATATATTCCCATATGTATTATGAAATATCAAGCTATTAATATCATGCCCTTAAATAATGATTTAGAGAAATTCCTACAGTGTCAACACTGCCAAAAAGATTATCATATCCTGGGACTGGTGAGATGGATCACTGAGTAAAGTCACTGGCCAACAAGCCAGATGACCTGAGTTCAATCTCTAGGACCCACATGATGAAGGGAGAGACACACACACACACACACACACACACACACACACACACATACACACACACAAGAGAGAGAGAGAAAAAATAAATAATAAATAAATATATGTTTAAAGAGATTATCAAACTCTAAACCCCATGATTTAAGCTGTGTTCTCTTGTATGAGTGAATATGTTCACATGTGTGCATATGTGTGTATGTGTGAAGAAAATTGGTTTTGAAGCAGTATGGCCAGGCATGGTGGCACTTGCCAGTAGTTCCAGCACTTGGGAGGCAGAGGCAGGCAGAGCTCTGGGAGTTCAAGGCCAGCCTGGTCTACATAGTAAGTTCCAGACCAGCTGGGGCTACCGGAAGACGCTGCTTCAAAAAGGCCAAAAAAATATATTAAGTATGATCATGTATGATCATTCCTCTGTGCAACTTTTTCAAAATTCTCAGTCTTATACAGTAGATTAGAATTTTAAAACTTAAAGCCAGCAGTATCTATGAGGCCTGGTTAAAATTGTGGGTGCCGAAAACCATAACACAGAGAAGACTCAGGGTATGAATGAAGACCTGCAGAGAGCAATGCCTTATGTTCACGTGGGAAGCTGACCATAGAACCAGACCCTACAGAAATTAGGAGAAAGACGTTGGCCAGTACGAACAGTTCAAACAAAGGGCGCAGTTTGCCTTGAGAAGTTATGATTTTTGCTGTCACTACACATATTCAAGAACAGGCCTGAAGGAAAGTTTCAGGCACCATCTTAGAGTGGTTTAGTTTTGAACAGTTTGGCCTAGAACTTTTTCCCCACTAGATTTGTTAAAAAGTATGATTCCAAACATGATACTTAACATTTACTTCTCATTAGAGATTTCTTTCTAGATAAAATATTTTTGTTTCTAACAATTATCTCCTAATCTTTTTGGTGGTAAATTAAAGGTCTCACTGTATTCAAAGGTAATTTCTTTGAGGGCAGGACATACACATTCAGCATGAATACTATTACAAGCATCTGGCCTCATGATAACAACACAATTTTTTTGTTGTTGTTTTTAAATAGGCCAATGCACAGGTCTGACTAACCCAGTCTAGATTCACTTCATCCTGCCTGATCTGGAACAGCAGTATACCTCACTTCCCAACTAGAGAACTCTCATCTCCTAGTACTTACAGGCTCTCTGGCCCCTCCACTAGCTTCTCAGGTAGTCACAAAACCCAACCAAACAGGAGAAGTTAATGGTCTTGAGATGGAGCAGATGTACTGCTGACTTCCCCACTACCTGCTTAATTCTGTCCCAAGATGTAAAGTTTCTGCAAGGTTATCTGAAGGCATCCCTCCCACTATTCTATGGCAGTCTGTGGCCATCGGGTATAGTTTCCTCCATTTTCTTGTCTTCCTTTCACTCTCATCCCTTCCCTGGGTTGGTTATATGCACCCCACGTATACTACCAAAAAATACCCTTAGGTCTGTTGTCCAAGGGAACTATGTTGAGACAGTAATTGGAATTCTACTGTGTGTTGGTTGATCCTCCTGTTGCACTTCTGAAAGAAGTCATGTGAAGTTTGACTTCTTATAGCCAACATAGGCATTGATCTGGGGCTGGAGAGATGGCTCAGAGGTTAAGAGCACGGCTGTTCTTCCAGAGGATGTGGTTTGATTCCCAGAACCCACATGGTAGCTAACAACTGTCTGAACTTCAGTCCCAGGGGATCTTTTAGCTTCTGCAGGGCATCACATGCATGTGGTACACTTATATACATGCAGTCCAAATACTCATACACATAAATTTTTTTTAATTAAATATGTTTTAAAAGAACTGATATATAACCTGAAGGAGGCCAAAAGGGACCTGAAATGAGGGTAAAATAGGACTGGAAAATGGGATTGATAACAGAATCAGAGCACAAGGCAGCAGAAGTCACCTCTGTGCCTATCTAAAGCTCTGCTTGGAAACCGGCTCCTAGCCTTAGTCTGCCCTAGCCTAAACTGAGAAGCAGCCTGATGCTACCTTGTATCCCCCAGAGCGCTGTCTCACAGAGCTTAACTGTTATCACACCCCCAGTTCCTGTGCCCTTACTCACCAACTTTCAGCTGCCCTCCTGCAACGAGTAAGCAGGCCACACTCAGAACATTGCTTCTGTCCACAGGGAATTCCAAGGTTCCCATCACATACAGGCCTTTGAGCAACGGGAGATCAGTATCCACAAGAACAGTTCTGTCTGCAGAAGAGCAAAAGGTTCCTCAATGTATATCTAAAACGAGATTCACCCTTTATCCCCCACTGATGTTTTAAGCTTCTGGAAATTCATGTGTCCATTTACATAGTTACAAGGCTCATGGGTAACTTAAAACCATTATTCTCTTCCCCACCCACCCCTTCCTGTTGCTATCTAGTTCTAACCAGGGGCATCACCTAGAACAAGTACTCTGCATGAGGCAAGGACTTAGTAAAATGTAGAGAAAGAAGCCCATGGTTAGTAAATTGTGTCATTCCTTCACATAAGTTGAATGTTATGTCCAAAAATCAGTGGTCACGTCCCCAAACATTTTAGTGCAAATATACAGATAAAATGAATTCCCTATGTTTTTATCCTGTTCATTTTGACTCTAATTTCAGAGTGGTACAAAACAGTAAGTAGATAAGGGGCTGGAAAGATGGCTCAGCAATTAAGATCACTGGTTGCTCTTGCAGAGGGCCTGGGTTAGATTCCCAGCACCCACATGGTGACTAACAACTGTCTATAATTCCAGTTCCAGGGGATCTGATGCCCTCTTCTGACCTCCATGAGCATTGCACAGTACGGGTGCACTTATACACATGCAGGCAATACACCTATACACATAAAATAAAAATAATAAATAAAAATTTTTAATTAATTTAAAAAATGTAGCTAAGGTCTTGGACTTGAAAAATTTGCTTGTAAATCATAGTTCAGTCACTTGCATAATGGGAGATCAACAATATGCTTTGAAGCCTCAATTATCTTGTCTGTGAAGTGGGAAAGATAATACCTGCTTTATTCATAGGTTTTTGGGTAAGTATTAAATGAGTTAATAGGTTAAAGTGCTTATACAGTATGGTAAGACATCCATAACTCCCTAATTCTCACCTTGCAGAGTACATAGTGCTTGCATAGCAAATGCTGGGGAGCATCGTTATTTTTACTGTGGTCCATTTGCTTGGCAGAGCTACAAGGCTCTTGGGTGATTTAAAACCATTATTCTCTTCCCCCACCCCCTTCAGAAAGGCCTTTTCCATAAAATTTCATTAGAAATCATCATAGATTTTTGTTTGAACTTAACACTATAGTTATATATGAATAAAACATTTTCACTTGAAACAGTAAATACTTCATGTAAGCCATAGTATTAAATGTTCTCTGAAGCTTAGCAGCACTTCATCATGAATTAAATATATCAAATAGATACTGGTATTTAAATTTTCATAATTTAAATGCATCATAATCACTGACACATGTAAAAAGATTTTTAAGAGTTTTTTTATTAACATAATTTCATTTCTCATTCCAGGGAAGAATTATTCACTACTATTCTTAAGGACCTGGCCAAGCACATTTACTGGTCATGAGCTGTTCCTGGGCCTCCTTCTGTAGTTATAAGAGCAGCCATGCCTTTCTGTAGCTGAGACTATAGGGCTATCAGCCAATCAGTTCCTTCTTCCTCCTGGGTTTAGAGATTCAGACTACTTTCTAGACTTCTTTGCAGACAGATGAAGTCATATGACAGAGTTGTGGCCAATAATACGTAGGCAGAATTGAAGGAAGACATCTCTAGCCCATTCCCTACTATTTGCCTATTCTCACCTCCTCTTTTCCCTCAGTTGAACAGAGTAGTGGATACCAAAGTGCTGCCTTGGTCCAACGTCATCAGCACCATCTAGTCCATGGGGAACAGCACAAGTTTTAGTTCTGATGATAAGGAACCTCTTTGCTAGGGATCTCCACTACTCCCTCTGGGGAACGTCCTTGGTACGTTAGTGTCACTGTCTACATGTTATATCAGAACACTGAAACAGCATTTGAATTACATACACACACAGTCCTGCACATAGGAGGCCATTGTTTATGGGTTGGTCCTTCCTCTCATATTATTATAGGAAGAATCTTGTCATTTCTATAAAAAAATTGGTGCTTATTGTAACATTAAAATAAAGAAATTAAATAAATGTTTCCCATGTCTGTTGAGTTTAGTACATACAGACCTTAAATTCATGAATTCATTACTAGCTAGTATAAAATAACTGATGATGCAAAACAGATAAAAATCAATACCCATCTCAGTCTTATCTCTGGCATTTTTCCAAAACATCAAATAAAAGAAAAATATCAAGGGATATTCTGGGTTTATCAGATATTTTATGGACTTGCAATTTTGAAATAAAAATCATTTAAAGCAAACAACTTTAAAAATGACAGTTACCCTTATCTGTCCCCAACTCTAGTCCATGTTTGCCTATAGAGCCTGATTATATAAAGCAATAAAAGTAGTTCAATAAATGTTTTCTCTCAGCCACAGAATACACACAGATCTCTCTCTCTTTCTCTCTCTCTCACTCTCTCTGATGCTCACCCCAAAATATACCAATTTCCTAGGAATCAGAAAGATTAAGGATACTAACTGTATAGCGCCAGAGGCATGACTTCTTTGCTCATGTTTATTTTTGCAGGACCCAGAGCAATCTCTAGTGTACAATGTGTCCTAAGAATAACACCAAGCAATGCACACATACATAAAATCCAGTGTTAGTCAGAGGGGAAGTATAGATGGAAAACAGGAAAGGAAGCATTGCTCTCATTTCTTTGATTTTGCATTTTTAAATTTCCTAGAACCATCTCTCTCTTTTCTTTGTTCTTTCTTTCCTTCCTAATGATATGTCAAATCTTGTCAAGTAGTTGGAAATCAAAGATAAGCAGAGCTATTTCCCACCATTATGTAATATAGATCATGAATAAAATAATGAGATAGACTTGAAGTGATGATTCTCTTTGATTAAATGGAAGTTGGTCCTATTTTCATTGCAAGCTGCTTCAAATTGGAAAATATATTTATTACAACACTACTGCTACACAATTCTGCTAGAATGAAATTACCATGTGCCATACAAGATTTTCAGTCAGGAAATTCTCCATGCATCCCTTTGTAGAGACGACAGTGACATGAAGAAAAGAATCCACAATTCACACTGAAATGGCCTCCAAAGCAGATCAGGCACAGGACCAAACCAGTCCTCGGACACAAGGACAGCTTATGAGGGCATTCTCTTTTGTCCAGGTGTGAATTGAGGCTATTATGCCACATTCTCTAAAAGTAGCATCATTTCTGTGATGTCTCCAGACATTTCCAGTAATCATTCAGAAAAAGTTATTTACACAGTGCACTTAAACATATAATGGACCCCCACTAGCTTAACTTTGGCCCAAAGCTTTCTCCCTTGTCCTGTTGACTGCAGTGACTCCATTCTACTCTGTCAATGACCAATCTATTCTACTTGAGAAAATGAGCGCGGCATATGGAGGGAACCATCTGGAATTTCTGTTGCGCAATGGGAGGCTGATGGGGGAGCTGATCTGGAAAGAGGCTCCAAAAAGAAATAATGAGTTCCAGATGTAATTAAAGACTGCTTCCCCTCCCCCAAAGGGGCTTAAGACCAGCCATGGAGTGGTGCTCTTGCTTCCGAATGGCAGTCTCTTACCACTTGTTCATCCATCAAGTGCTAAGCACTCACCATCTTTATTCTAGGATCTCTTGCCAAGCAATGTTTGCTTTGTTTCTGAAAGTGCTCTGTTTTGACAATTAGAAATAGAAAGCTTTAGAAATAATATCTGGGAACTTAGGAATAAAGAGAATCTCTAGAATCTCTCTATGCACTAAATGTAAGAGCAACAAATCAAAGAAGATCCAGTCTGATAAGTGCATTAGTCATCCTCAAGATCAGAAAACTAAGAGACCCGAGTCAAATTTAAAGACAGATGTCTCAGGCACAGGACTGGGGCTTCTTTTGCATCAGGAGTGATTTAGCTAATACAATTACAAAGTACTCGTCCATATAATTTCAACTATAGATTTAGACTTATTTTTCCCAGTAAAGTTCAGGAATCAAGATCACTATTGGGCAGCATTCTAAGAGTCTGACATTTGTCTAAATCCTGCAGAAATGAGATCAAGGGCAAAGGGCATAGATTCTGGGAACAACGATGTGGTCACATGAACAGCCATAATTTAAGGGAGGCAGACACACTGTTTGTATCGTATGCATTGTATCAGGCTCCATAACTTACATGGTGCAGACAGTTTTTACCACAACCCTACCATTGTCAGAGAGGCAGCCCATACCGACAGTGGACATAGCTGAGGCTTCTAAGGAAGAGCAAGGGCATGCAAAGGCACGGCAGGACACACAAGGACCATTTGTAGGATGATATTTTCCTGCACCTTCCATAAATAATGGATTTGTTTCTACATTCATCTTGGCTGCAATATTTTCCTATAAATATGTGAGCCAAATGTAAACTAAATGTTAATGCCATTGAAATCTCTATTAATGATCTAACTTTCCTTTTTCTAAGAAGTGGAGAATATTTTTAGCACAGAATGACAACTTGAAATGCTTTAAAACTATATGTTTCATGACGGTTGTTAGTGTTTCCTATCCTTTGTGGTCTTATTAAACTGTGTGGGATTCTAACAGTTTATTCAACTTATTATATCATAATTTATAAAGATGGCTGAAATAGTCTCTATAAACACTGGAAGCTCTCATACATAAATATTTCAGGGATGAAAAGTTAACAAGACTGAAAATTACTGGCAAGTAGGCTCCTTCACTGAAACAATGGCACTGGGTTTGCAAGCATTCCCTCCATAGGAAAAAAGTATGCACAAAGTTGTGCTTGATGGTGGGGATGCATTCTCTCTATAATACAACTCTTTTTAAAGAGCTACAAACTTTAGAGCATGCTTTTTCAACAAATCCACACAGGTGGCTTTTTCATTCTACTCTGCCTACATCGTTTTGTCAAACTGGTCTTAAAAATAGTAAAAAGAGGCAGTTTTCAAAGGGCCCAGAGGCACAATTCAAGATGGAGAGACAGTTTACTAACACCTTGACAGAAAACCATCTGTCTACCTGAGGGGTGTGTGTGTGTGTGTGTGTGTGTCACAGAGAAAGAGAGACAGAGGCAGAGACAGAGACAGAGGC